CGTACCTGCAGCCCGCACCCGCAGCTAGTCAGCAGCACGCACGCGTACCTGCAGCCCGCACCCGCAGCTAGCCAGCACCCTTCGCCGTTCGGGTGCACGCGCTTAGCCTGCGGGTTTCCGAGCTAACGGGCTGCTCTTCCCTCCACACCCGGCTTACTTCGCTCAACGTCGGGTCCAGCATGTTGTGTGAGACAGGGCCTCGCTGTGCTGTCCGTGGGCTGCCGCCGCCGGCCCCAGACCCTGGGGGCACACTCCGCCTGTCCGCTGCAATCCCAGCCCTGCCGGATTCCAAGCAGAGGCTGAGGAGGACGCCGGGGCTGGCCACTGCTGAGCGGCGTCAGCCCCCAAGGGGCTCTGCCGCAGGTGCCCAGGGTGCTACTTCCCAGCAGCTTGGTGGCGGGCTTCCTGGGCGCTGCGCTGCTGTGTTCCGCGTCCATGCGCCCGGCTGAAGGCAAGTTCACCCTCGGTTCATCGTGGAGAAGGACTTGCTGGATCTTTTCTCAGTGATCAGAGGTCGTGTTTATGGCTTTATGGCTGAGCAGCTAGATAGCAAAACCAAACACCCACAAAACTAATTGACAAAATATAGGGTTATCCTCAGATACCCCAAAATAGAAGGTAGGGTGAGCCACAGGTGCCCCCAAGGCCTGAGACAGACAGGATTAGAAGCAGCTGGCGGAGGCCCAGACAGCCAAGGTTGGGAGAGCAGGGCAGGGCGGAGAGTGAGGCGAGGGGCTCCTGAGCAGGCAGATCCGGGGGACCAGGAAACTGGAGCCACCAGGAGGAAGGGAGCCCCTGCACAATGGGGACCAGCAAGGGCAGGAGGGTGTGGCTCAGAGCTGGAGAGGAAAGCCCCAGCGGGAAATCCCTCAGCCCTGCTCAGGGTAGACAGCGGGAGGGCTCACACGTGGAAATCTAGTCCCCAGGAGGATGCTCGGGCGGGTCATTGCAGGGATCAAGTCCTGAGGAGCCTGGCAGTGCCCATGGAGGACACACCAGGGCACCCTCTGACGCCCAGAAGTCAGGCCCTCCAGCCTGGATGTCCAGCCTCTGGAATGGGAAGAAACGGATCTGTGGGGTTTTTATACAAGCTATGGAAGGAGGTTTTCTGCACACAGCGGTCCCAATAGTCCAAGACACAAAGGGAAGTTGTAGGAACTCTCCCGCCCTCTGCCTCCTTCCAGATGTTCAGAAATGACAGTCATAAGAGTCAGCGTTAGGCCCTGGGAAGCTGAGGCAGGAGGGTCAAACCCAGACTAAGCCGTTTAGCACTTTGGCAAGAACTGGTTTCAAAATTTACAATTTCAGCCAGGCAGGGTGGTAGGGACCTGTAATCCCAGCACTCAGGAGGCTAGACAGGAGGATCATTTCAAATTCAAGACCAGCCAAGGCTACAAAGTAAGCCCACGGCCAGCCTGAATTGCATAGTGAAACCCATCTCAAAAAGACAAAAAAAAAAATATTTCATTTTCCTTCATTTTTTCGCTACATAATCAAATTTTAAAAGGGCCAAGGATGTATTTCAGTGTAAAGGCCTAGAGTACAAAAAGCAAAAAAGAAAGAATAAAGAGCACTAGCAAGGAAATGAGGCATTGGGCCAAAAATTGGGCCAGAAATGAGGCAAAGTAGCAGAAATGAAGAGAGAATGAGAAGCGGAAATGAGGCAAGAGCTTGCTGCCAACATGCACCCAGACACCAAATCAAAGCCACAGCTGTCTTCTTGTTTGGGTGCCACCCAGAAGTGACCCCTGACACAAGCTAAGCAGGCAGCACACCGTGCACTGAGCCACCCTCCTACCCAAGGTCTGTTCCTTCAGAACACACCACGACTTGCAGAGGATGGTTGCCAGGGGTGGAGTGGGCGCACTTAGCATGCGGAGCAGAAAGTGATCCCAGCTCGGGCGTCAGATCTGGCCAACTTTACTATAAAGGGCATAGGCAGCAGCACACAAGAATTCGAGGACTTGAGTTCCAAAAACTAAAAACAAAATATAGACAGCCCTCCTTTAAGAACCAACTCTACACAGACCCAGAGCGCAGGCCCAGGAGTGAGTGA